CAAACCAGTCGAAATCAAAGAAAGCAAAAAGTATTTTAAAAAGCTGGGGTGAGGAAGCATACAGAGGCTTTTTAAAATGGATACACTCCCTTTAAAAGAGCAAAAATAAAACTATGGACTGACTTATAAAGAGCCATAATGAAACTCTAAAGCAAGGAATGACATGTCTAAAAGGATAAAGCAATAAACCACCAATCAATTCTATACTCATTATAATTACCTTCAAAAATAAAAGTAAAATGAAGACATTTCCAAATGAAAACTGGTTTAAAAGCTTAATGCACCTGCTACAAAAAATACTAAAGGGAGTTCTTTGTAAATGTAATAATCATTCCAATAAAAAAGAAAACCATCACAGTAGATTAAAAATTCAAATGTATGATGCTGATAAGATGTAAATATACTACACCATAAGCCATTTCAGTTCAGCAAACTGACACAGCAAAGAGTACAAGCCAGGTACAGTGGCACTTGCCTGTAACAAGAGGATGACAGATGTCAGGTGTCCAAGAGCAGCCTGGGCAACATACCCTGTTAAGATCACATCTCAAGAAAAGAAAAAGAATACATAAGCTCCCCCCCGCCATATCAAAATATACAATGAATGTTTACAATTTTTAATAGATAACAGTAAGACACATTGCCATTAATCAAAGTACTTCTCTCACTTCAAACACACTTATCCCCTCATTCTTGCCACTTTCTGAAGCAGTTATACTCTTTCTCGTTTTTATGAGTCGTGATGAAAAATAAGGTGAATACTACTGCCTACTGTTACCTAATGGAAATGCAGGCTCACAGAAACATTAAGGTGTGTCCTCATCTACCTTATTCACTAGATCTGGCACCATATGACTTCTGGCTGTTCTCTCAAGTCAAAATGACCATGAAAGGTAAATGTTTTGAATCAATTCAGGACATCAAGGGAGCCCTGACAGCACAACTAACAACATTCACAAAAGGGGACTTCCAGAACTGCTTCAGAAAGTGACAAGGACAATGAGATAGCATGTTCAAAGTGAAGGGGGAGTATTTTGAGGGAGATTAATGGAAATGTACCTTATTGCAACAAGTTTTTATTTAAACTTTTACTATAGTTTTAGGTCACACTTAGTATAACCAGAGTAGAAATAAGCTAGAAATCAAAAACAAAACAGTAACCAGAAAAATACCTCCAAATACTTTGAATTAATCAATATATAGCTAAATAGCACATAAGTCAAAGAAGAAATCACAATAGGAATGATAAAAGAATTTAACTAAGTTATATGAATATATAACATATTAACTTGCATAATGTGGAGGCCAGATCTGGCAAGGATGGTGCACGTTGGAAAATTTGCCAGCCAATTTGTGGACCTATGCACAAAATATTAATAAATCCAATGATATATAAAAAGATAAGATATCATAGCCAAGTGGAGTTTATCCCAAAGCATAAGGTTGGTTCTACATTCAAAATCAATCAGCATAGGAATCATCCAAATCTATTCCGAAAAAATAAAAGTAAGGATAAGGCAAAGAAATAAAATAAAAATGCCAAAAGGAGCTCTGTGGGAGCTGACTCACCATGGTATCTAGAAACACAGGAAACATGTGTTACCGTGCCAGCCAGGCTATGTGGCTCCAGATATGTTTTGGGACTATCTGCTAATGCCTTCCTCAGCTGTGGAAAGAAGTGAGTGAGGACTAGGAAGGTTCCCTGCAGCTTCCAGGATATGTGACCTCAGGGCTCCATTCTCTTGGTGACTGACACAGAGCATCCCTGCTCCACAGGCTTTCCATGAAAGACTAAGGAGCCATTCGGGCCTGGACAAGGTGGTGCTTCTCTATAAGAAGCCATGACCTTGGCAAGCTCACCTGAGAGGTGAGGGCTGGCTGCCCTGATGCTTGAACGCTCTTTCCAGCCTCTCTTGGATCACCCTGGGATTTCCACCAGGCAAGTACAACTTCGGGGAAATCCTCTCCCCCTCTGTGTGGCCATCCACTGCTGGCTCATCCCCTGAAAGACCTCTGAATGGTGCTCTATCTCGTGGGAGCAGCCCTTTGCTGGGCAGGTGGGAAGGGCTGCTGGGGGTGGTTTTCTGCTTTTCCTTGGATGGTTCGCTAAGCTGGCCTAGGGGGCTCCTGGAGATGGAGTCATTACTGGAAGCAGGGACCACCTGTGGGGCTAGACGTGCTGGGGTGCCACCAGAGAGGTCAGGCACCATGGGGTTCTCTTCCTCCTGGCGTTGAGTCTTGCTGCTTGAGGTCAGGGACCATCTCAGAGAGCGTTTGTGGAAAGAATCCTGTGGGGGCCAGGACAGAAATAGTGAGGATCCCCTTCTGGGAAAGCTGGAGAAATATATTATTCATTTGCCCATGGTGGCCCCTCCCCAGGAATATCTGTTCCCATCCCCAACTCTTTCCCTTAAAATCCTACCTAGTCTATGGGGAGCCATTCAAATGCTACCAACACAGATGCTCTGGCTGATGTGCACCCACCTGCACAAAAACCCCAGAGCACCTACAACTTCTCATGACCCTGCCCAGAGCACGTGTAGGTGGTAGAAGAAGTATTGCTCCAGTTTCTAAGTCCTGCACCCCCCTACCAGCTGGGTCATCTGTGGCAGCTATTTAAATTCTCTGTCTCTCATGTCCTCACCTGGTAATGGAACCACAGTTCAGTCGTCTGCCATTTCTAAACACCCAAACCTCGGGGCGGGGTGGGGGGGGATCCCTTTGAATTCCTGTGGTAAATCCTTTTAAATGATGGTAAGGTTGATTCTAGTCTTTATAAAGTATGAATATTTTCATGTTTATGCTTTTGCTTACTGGAGATTACTACAAACCCTGCTACAAGCATTATGTGGTTTATGCACTCTACTTATATACTGAAGTCAAAGTACTTCCAAAATACATCTGGCCCCAAAGGGAATGAGGAGCCTGTGGTATTTACTTCCTGCAAGTTCATGGTGAGGTGTTAGCCAGGCACACCACAGCAGTCAACATGGTCCCTGCTCCACTTACTTGCCCCTTTTTATTGCCATATGGCCCTCCCCACCCATGGTAGCCAAGTAATGGCAGAAGCCATTCTACACTCATCTCTAGTGTCCACAGCACTTCCCCCAGCTCAGCAGCCTATACTGCATAAGCAGTCAAGATTTGCGTAGTTTTTGAAATGAAAGAATCCCAAAGGAGCCAACTGGAATGCTCTCTTCCAATCAATGACTAAATGAGGAAATGGGAACCCCTGTTACTACTCCACAGAGGGCAGGGGAGAGCAGAAGGATAAAAATAAACCTACTGAGCTTCTCCATGGTTTAAATTTCAGGACTATTCAGCTTTTCCAGAAATAATTCAGAGCCAAATGGAAGCCTAGGATAGAATAAGGAGAGCTAATTTCATAGTGTTCTGGCCTAGTGGAAATTACTAGGCACTGTGAACCTGCTCCAAAAGCTGTGAAGGGCATCCCCTGTCCAGAGCAAGAAAAACATTACAACCATTCCCAAGGACACTCAAATTTCGGGCATAGGATGAGCACAATCTCTTACCTCGTCCTTAAGAATGGTGCTCATCTAGTGGTAAAAACTGATGAAATCCTAGCAAACTTTGGCTCCTTTCTCTTGAGCAACCAATAGATATGGCCAAAGCACAAAATATCTTCCAGAAAATCTAGGGAAATTTACAGAAACCCACCCTTTGATCTCTTTCACAGGATTCAGGTGCCACAGGGGTAAACTTTAGCTCCTCAATTACCAAAAGGAGAGGTTTGCAGCAACACCTTTGGTAGTAAGGCAGGTTCACACCACCTCCTTACACCACAGTTATGAAGGCATTCTCAACTGCACACACTGAATAATTAGAATGTCATGGTAAGACAGGACTCTGGTGTTCATCTGGTCCACTGGTTCTCAAAGTGTGGTCCAACAACGCTTGGGGTTCCTAGATGTTAGAGAACTAAAAACTATTTTCATAGTCATTGCTATGGTTCAGATATGATTTGAGTATATCCCTCAAAGGTTCACATGCTGGAAGCTTGGTTGCCAATGTTGTAGTGTTGAGGCAATGAAACCTTCAAGAGATGCAGCCTAGCAGAAAGCATGGGGTCATGGAGGCACCATCTTTGAAAAGGATCAATGCAGGACTTGTGGGACTGGGTTAGTTCCCATAAGAATGGGTTGTTACAAGGAGTCTGGCACCTGCCCTGAGTCCCTCTTCTGTTCACACATCCTGGCCCTCCTACATGTACTGCCACCACGATGCCATCATATTGTGATATAGCCAGAAGGCCCTCACCAGAGCCCAAGAAGATGGGGCCTCCAATCTGAGACTTTCAGCCTTCACATGAGCTAAACAATCCTCTTTTTATACTTTACCCAGAATTAGGTATTTTGTTATTGCAACAGAAAAACCAAATTAGTCAGTAATTATACAATTTGCCTTTTTCATGTTGTTTGCTTTCTGCGCAAACCAATAGCGGGGGAAACTATTGGCTCTGAATGTGAATCAAGGCAGTGACACTGTTATGGCTTATATCTAGATGTCCCTCCAAAGCCTCATGTGGTCATAAATGGGGCTTTTTGGAGGTGGTTGGGTCTAGGGTGTGTGATGCTGGGGTCAAGCATGTGATACTAGGATTGATTCATGGTTCAATGTTAGGATTAAGGCTGCCCCACCCTGGGTGTGAATGCTACCCCCCCTAAGGGTGGGTAGCCTAGATAGGCTATAAGGGATAGAAAGAGGGTCACTGCTTACTTGCTGCTTGGTGCCTTGCTGCCTTCTGCCTGCCAAGAACTGCCATGAACTCCTCTGCAATGCCCTCTGTCATGCCACCCTGCCTTGGAGCCAGCTAACTATGAACTAAAACCTCTACAAACTGTAAGCTACAATAAACCTTTCCTCCTTTAACTTTGGGTGTTGGGTATTTTACCTCAGCAACAAGACAAGTACCTAATACAGGTACCAAACTTTGCCAAAGCTTAAGGTATTCTTCACTGTTATAACCTGGCAATAAAAACGAATGAATAAAAAGCCTACTTCACTCAAGAATGTCCATGCTGACTCATAAGAATTATTAACTTTATTCGATCTAGGCTCAACATCTGCTGAGTGGGAAGGATGGTGGTAAGCACTTGAGTGACCATCTAAATTCTGAGCAAATTTGCTGTTATTTTCATGGAACCACTGAAAGACAAACCATGGTGATTCAGACTTGGGTTATGGGCATGAATTTCTTAAAAATAAATTGAGTCTGTCATGTCAAGGCAAACAAATGGTGTATTATTATTAGTAACAAAATACAAGCTGTTGAGTAAAAATAAGAATTTGAGAATTCATATCCTGTGAGCCTGACAGCTTTGGAGTACTTAATAACTTTTATGATAAGTTGGATGATAACATCAACAGATGAGAATTTTTTTTCGTAAAATGAAATGTGTTCATACTTGGATGATGTATATAACTCAGTAACCAATATTTTCCAAATGATCAATTCATCATGTTAATAAATTATGCAGGGATAAAAACTCAAAGTGTAAGAGAGACCAGTGGAAATTTATAAAATACAGAAGTTTGCTGATGTGGTTTAAGATTCCACATTAAGTAACTACAATTTGTCTAGTTTTAGGGTGGTATCAAAGAAGAATACCCCTAGTTTTCTGAAAAGCCTGTGTTAAAGCACTTTTTAATATTTTTAAAATACTTTTCCAAATTTTCTTCATGCACTTCAATCAAAATACCATATTGCAACAGACCAAATTCTGAAACAAAAATGAGAATTGAATTGACTTCTACTAGGCCAGATAGTGAAGACATTTGAAAAACAAATGTAAAACAATGTTACTCATCTCACTAATTATTTTTTCTTTTGGTTTGGATAATGTAGAGGTTTTTTATTAAAATAGGTTCTGTTAAATATAATGAGTTTACTACTATTACTGCTATTTTAATGGTTTAAAAAGTAAATGTTTTTTAATTTTTCATTTTTAATTTCTAATACAGGAAATTTCAATAGACATCATCCACACAAACAAAAGCTCTTGGGCTCCTCAATAAGTTTAAGAGTATGAAGAGATCCTGAGACTATAAACCCTGAGAGCTGCTGCTGTAATCTCTCTACCACACAGGACTATTTCCACTATGTCCCCAGTCGATGGCGATTCTCTTTGACACAGCTAGTCCTGTCCCTTCCAAAACAACCTGTCCTCCTGCTGAAGTGGCTCTGACTCACTCCAGCATGGGGGCCAGCTGTGCTTTCTGGAGCCATTAGGCAAGTCTATATCACTCAATCCAACAAGATTAGCAAGCACACACCATGTTCTACACACAAACAGGATATAATCCCTGCTCTCAGGGAGCTTACAAACCAAGCCCAAAGGAGTCCCTATGCCACTCCAGTCTACCCACCAGAAGCAACCACTCAGGGTACCCAGGAGGTTCTGAAAATCCCATCCAGGTTTGATAAAAAAAGAGCACTGAGCCACAGGCACAGCATGAGAGAGGCAGTCAGGAAGCCCACCTTGGCCACTCAGAGACTAAGCTATTCCTACCTCCATGTTTGAAGAAATCCCTTACATTCTGCCAGCAAGATTTCTCTTCACAAGATTAAACATCTCCAAATCTTACAACTGTCTCTACTATTCACCTCCCCACACCCTTTCTTCTGGACATGGTCTAGTTAGTTCATGAATGTCCTTCAACAATGAGACACTTAGGACAGGACAAGGCATCAAGGTGTGGCCTGAATTATGCAATGAGAAGCAGATTCTCTCTGCCTTGATCTGGACACAAAGATGCAAGATCACAAAAGCATGGACAACCCAGACCCCAAGGGCCTTAGACAATCACCTAACCAAAGATATCAAAGCCAAGAGAAATAAAACCTGGATCAGAGACCCCACAGGACAGATGCAGAAGCAGGGAGACAATCCACTTTCTGTCCTGATCCCAAATGAGTTAGGAGAACAGGGCCGGCACCCACGCTTCATCAAACATATGCAGGTAAGTATGAGTGCGGTGGCAGCCGAGATCTCACACAATCTCTCTCAGCTTTGCTCAGGCTCCTGACGTTGCACTGTATGCTCTGTGTTTAATTTAGCTTCATTTTCCAGTTTATTGTTTTGTAAACTCCTTTTGCACTTTTCTCCATTTGGTTTAATCTCCCCTTCTAATGAGACCATACCATAGTCTCTCCTTAAAAAAGACTAGGAAACACTGACGTTAAATTTTCACATTCTTCTTAAAAGACAAAAAGCAGAATAAGTGAGACTATAAAGTTTAGGGTTTGTATTCTCCTTTAACTATCATGTTTTAAAAAAAATTTTTTTTAAATGTTCTCCAGATTTGGATAGGTCCCCTACTTCTGAATTGCAAAGACAAACTTGGAATGTGTTTCCAATCCACAAAGAAATATAAAACAATGACACCTCATTGATATAAAGGGTAAACTGAAGGCAGGGAAGGAGATGAGGCTTGTCCAAGGCCCAGGCATTGATGATGTGAGAGCCAGGGAAGAAACAGGCAAGTACTCTTCCCATGCTCAGAATCCCCCTTCTGTCCAGGGGGCACCCAATAAACGCAGGCGGTGCTCTAGCCCTGTTCTCACTCCCCAATCTCACAGCAAGGGAGAGTGGCCCCACCTGTGAGGAACTGTCCATGGGTCCAGCCATCATCCCTCGGAAAATCAGGCCAGACTTGGGTCTGGCCTTCTCTCCTGCCTTCTTCACATCAGTGCAAGGATCCAGCAAGTGCAGCTTGTCCACCTTCTCCCATGCAGATGCCAAAGGGGTGCTTCCATCTGGTACTATGTGCCCAGGCTTACTCTTGTGTGGGGGCCTTTTGCATGATAAATTACCAGGTATATCTCCATCAAGACTGTCTTGTCTGTAAAAAAGAAATAACTCCATTGAAACACTCCCCAAAAGGAATCAGTAATGCCGATAATATATTATGATAATAAATCCCACAACCATGATCACTCAGATCAATCCAATTCATATATATATATATATATCTCCTAACCAGTGTGATATGATGAAAGGTAAGTAACAGAAAATACTCTGGTAGGGCCAGGGATTTAGCTCAGTGGTTCCGCCGCCTGCCTCACAAGCGCAAGGACCAGAGTTCGATCCCTGGTACTGCAAAAAAAAAAAAAACAACACTCTGGTATCAGAGCATTCTAGCCTATAAAATAACAAGCAGACACAGAAAACAAGCAAACAAAATCAGAAATGAGGGTCCGTAATAGCATCCCTCAAGTCCTTGCTTATCCAGACCTGAGTGGTCCAGGAAAAACAGAATCCTGCAGTACAAGCCTGGGATGTGTGGAGTTTGGCTCTACTGCACCCACCTGAGAGTGGTGGATAAAACCCATGGCAAACTTAGCATTCCCTGCCTATCCAGGAAAGTTTTACAGGTGTGCCAATGTCTTCATGTGTGTTTGTGTATGAGTGTGTGGTGTGTGTGTGTGTGTGTATGTGTGTGAGAGAGAGAGAGAAGGAGGAGGAAGAGGAGGAGGAGGAGAAGGAGGAGGAGAAGGAGAAGAGGAGGAAGAAGAAGAGGAGGGGGGAGGGGAGGAGGGGGAGGGGAGGGAAGGGGAAGAAGAAGAAAAGAGGAGGGGAGGGGGAGGAGGAGAAGAAGAAGAAGGAGAAGAAGAAGAGGAAGTTGTTGAGAGTGAAAACAAGCAAGTAGCAAAAAAGATCAAGAGAGCCCAAGATATGAAGCAAGAGACTCAGGTGAAGTGGAGCCTTCCTGGGGCTGCGCAGAGGCAGCACTCTCTGACGGCCCAGCTTTGCTGTGCCCCTGGGCGTGGATGAACACTGACACCTGCTCTCTGCCACACTACCCTCCAGGGCTGAGTCACACGTGAGAGCAGCAGTCACGTGTGCTATGATGGGAGCACGTCAGGCAGAAGGGACTGGAGCCATCCTGGCGAGTGCCAGCAGGGCTTCAGTGAAAGGTGCCCTGTATCAAGAGACTGACCAGGCGAGAAAGCCCCAAGAGACAGCACCGGGCTGAGCAGACAGGCCTGTAAGGCAGGACATGCCCAGGCAAGCAGGGGGCACTGGTCTCACATGGGGCTTTGCAAGTTAACCTAAGGAGTTTGGCTTTTCTCCTAAAAGCTGCAAGGAATGTCCATCCATCAGTCTTTTGGGAAGGAGCAGCCTGGCCAGACTTGTTTTGTGGGAAGCTCCCACCATCTTGTGTGAGGGCTGGATTTAAGAAGAGGTGCACAGGGAATGAGGGTGGGGGTGGGAATGAGGCCCTTGGCAGCAGTGAAGAGAGGGTGGGGTGGAATGGCAGGTGTCACTAGGGAGCTGACAAGACCCAAGGAAACAGAAAATGACAGGGAAGGAGGAGAGTAAGGGAAGATACCCAAGTGCTGGGCTTAAACTTCTGCAGTGCTACTTTTTTTTTGGTTTCTCAGAAATACTTAATTTTTCAGGCAAGTAAACGCCTCTGAAGGAGGAACCACCTTCTTCATAACTTGAGATAATGATTTGTAATGGTCCCATCCTTTTGCAGTTTGACATCCAGGCCCTGAGCTTCAGCTGCCCTAGGAAATGAGATGCTTTTCTGCTCAGTGGGGGAAAAAAAGACCCTTTCCCCAGAAGTTAAACTCGCTATGGGGGACTGTATGGGGGACTGCTGGTAAGGTAGGGTGTGACGGTTGTCAGTTAATATTCTCCAGATAATAGAGGTTCCATTAAGAATGCCTAATCATTTTCTTCCTGAGAGTTCCATAGACTTTTATCTTTCAGATTTTCTCCACTTCTACAATGTTTCATTGCCTTTTACAATATTATACTCCTGTTCTTGAAAAAGTCAAACAAAGCAGGACCCTGAACCTTAGATGTTTCAGAATATAAAATATACAATTTTAATAATCAGTGTCCTCCATCACAAAGTGCTTCATTCTCATGACCTCTAGAAGAAAATAATGGGGCTCCACAGCAGAGATTGTGAAACACAGAGTATAGGAAGCTGAATAATGACTCCCCCAAAATGTCCAAGTCCTGATCTGTGTAATCTGTGACTATATCACCTTCCATGGTAAAAGATAATTTGTAGACATGGTTAAATTAAGCACATTGAGTTGGGCAGATCATTGTGGATTATTTGGTGGGCCCAGTGCAATCACTGTGGTCCTTCTTGGAAGGAGACAGGAGGATGAAAGTAGTAAAGAAAATAAACCTCTTTTAGTAGTAGTTAGGCGATGCAACAAGGCAAGCTCGAGGGGTATGCCCGAAGGCGGAGAAAGGGGCCAGGAGCCAAGGAAGGCAGGCCCTTAGGAGGCGAGAAAAGAGAGGTGGTGGGTTTGGCCCTCAAAGCAAAACCTCAAATGGACTGGCCCTCAGACACCTCGCCTCTATGCGGTGGGACTGTGTCTGGACTCAGGACCTCCAGAATCAATTTGCATTATAAGAGACATTTACAGCCAGTTGACTTTAAGGAAAACAGATTAGTGTTCTCCATGATGCAGGTGGACCTGATCTATTAATTGAAGACCTTAAGAGCAAAACCTGAGGCTTCTCAGAGAAGAAGTAATTCTTCCTCAAGACCATAACACAGGAATCCTGTCTGAATCTCCAGCCATCAGGCCCTGCCCTAAACTATAGACTTGCCAGCGCCCACAATTGTATGAGTCACCTCCTTAAAATAAATCTCTTTATATATACTTACCTGTATGTGTGTGCACACATCTACATACACAGGCAGTCCTGGCCTACAATAGTTCAGCTTACAGTTTTTCAATTTGACAATGGTGTGAAAGCAATACACACTCAACCAAAACCATACTTTGAATTTTGAATGTTGACCTTTTCTAGTGACGTGTAATACAGTACTCTCTGGATGCTGGTGAGTAGCAGGAAGCTTTGGTATCTAGTCAGCCACAGGGTCACAACAGGAAACAATCCGTACTCTACAGTGTATGGTGCTGCTATGCTTTGAAGTTTTGCAGGCCAAGTGAATTAAATGCTTTTTCAACATGATTTTTCAACTTACAATGGGTTTATTAGGACATAACACCATCACAAGTCAAAAAGCATTTGTATATGCTACTGATTCTATTTCTCAGGAGAACACCTGCTGATAAAACCACTAAGTTAGAGCAGCATAGGAAGCTACTATACAGAGTAAATGGGAAGAGATACCTGGCCTTGCTTGTTTCTGCCAGTGATGTTCTCCAACCTGTGTCTTCATCTGAAAGGTCATATATATTCACCAGCGTGGTCTCTGAGCATCTTGCCAGCAATTTGTTATCTTTCTTTGGAATTGAGAGTGCAGGGATTGGAGTTTCTTGGTTTAAATTTTTATCCACATTTCCAGAGTAATCCAAAAAGTATCTAGTAATGAGTTCAAGGCTTGTTTTTAGAGGCTTTTCCTTTGCCTATCATTGGGAGTTGGGAAAAATCATTAATCATAGATACAAATTCTTTGACATAAGTTTTATTGACTTCTCACTCATTCATACATGCTTTCAGTGAATGCTATTGCATAAGCCAGGTGCTGTGTTGTATAGGGATACAGAGATGAAGACAAAAATCTCTACCCTAAAAGAACTGCTACATAAAACATGGGTCAGGCAATCCAGTGAACAATTACAATATTATGTAATGTGAATGGTGGAGTTCCCAAGCAAATTTCCTCTATATGCAAATTCTCCTAGGAATAACTATAAAATACCTATCCTTTCATTTAAAAAAAAATTTAGGTCTATAGAAAACACTAACTCTGTAGATCTAGAAACATTTGGGGCCTGAATATTTTCTTAATGTGTGACCTCCACATGAAGCAGAAAGTTAATATGAAAAGCATAAAAAGTCAGATATGGTGGCACATGCCTAGAATTCAGTCAGATATGGTGGCATCTGGGAGGCTGAGGCAAGAGGATCACCACAAGGTCAAGGCCAGCCAGGGCTCCATGGTGAGTTCAAGACCAGTCTGAATTACAAAGCGAACAAACAAACAAAAAAGGGGGTTGCCAGAAACTGTTGTGCTGTTTCAAAAAATGAAAAGTATACAGAGGCAGTCAGGATTATAAAATTGCCCCAGTCATTTGGGCAGACATAGCTATCCAAACAGACTGGCCTCGGGCACCTGCTATTCATCAGTCTCCACCCCAAGACCCTGCAAATACCCCAGCTCTGCTGAGCTGTGGCCAGACAAGGGGCGTTCAGGGATTCTGCAATCTATTAGTAGTAAAGCATCCAACAAAGAGCCTGGGGCAGAGCAGTCTTCAGCATGTGCCCAGTCCCTCCCCTGCTATTCTTCTGATCTGACCACAAAATTCAGAACAAGACCATGCCAAGGGACTGTGACCAAATGCAACAGCCTTATCAGATAAGATCAAGGGGCAGTTTTATTTGTTCACTTGCACACTTTCTTTTCGCAAGATACCAAAGAAAAGAAAAGAGACAATTTTGCTTAAGTCTGAAGCTTACAACGAAGAGAGTCAAGGGAAAGATATTATAGAATTTATTTCAATTTCTTGCTTTTTCTCTCAGTAAGAGAGATGTATGGCCCTGGACTGTCTGAATAATACCTTAATGGTTTTCATATCACTTGCTCACAGCAGGCACACAGCCTTTATATGAATCTAGATACTGTTTTTCAAAACTTCAATTTTACTTAGGCATTTAGATTTACCATATTCCTCATAGGGAAAAACAAGTTACTAGAAATATTAACATTAAATTGCAGGACTTTCCTAGGATCATACTAGCCTGGGCTGAGTGAATGACAAAATTATCATGCAATAAATGGACTAATAAGCCCATGTTTCTTTTAAATACAGGCTCCAATTTATTGTGTCACAGCTAATAACTACTATTTAAATTAAATAATCAGGGCACTTACCAAGGGCTAATGAAAATATCTTAGGTATTTTAAGATAACATACTATATTATGGCAAGGAAATAAATATAATTTGAATGGCAAAAGTACTTCTTGGAACCTAGGTAAAGGTGATTTTCCATAAAATCTCAATGGATCAGAAGGGTTAGTTAAGTTTTCTGGGCCTCTATCTTACTCCCTGTGCAGAATATCCCTAATTAGTGTGGCCAATGCTCCTGCCTCAGAATCTACCAGACAGAAGGTTCGAGTATCTGCTGCTGGGGTTGAAGGTCTTCCTCCTCCAGCACTGTGTCCATGAGTGCACTCAGGAAAAGGAGGTGTAGTGTGTCACACCAGACCCAGAGGATCAAGGCCAGCTGGGTGATGTCTTACCCAGCCTCTGAGATGACTTCACTTGGCTGCCTCGACTTTTTTCTCCTCAAGGGGGAACAGGGAGCACAAGGGTTTCTGGCAAGCACAGAGCACCAGGAGGGTGGGGGACCTGTTGGTTGAGGTTTACAGATTTGCCTGAAATTCTGTTTCACTTTATGACTCGAAACCAGGCCTAAGATCCTCTCTGTCCCATTAGATGGTTTTCAAGGGGTTTGGAGGTTCTTCTGGGTATCTTAGAAATAACCTTGGTCTCACTTCTTTGTTAATATAATCTGCTGAAATGTTACTTAAAAACAGAGTGACAGGGCCAGGGATTTAGCTCAGTGGTTCCGGCGCCTGCCTTGCAAGCGCAAGGTCCCAAGTTCGATCCCCAGTACGGAAAAAAAAAAAGAGTGACAAATAATAAGCTTGATCACTATTACAGTGATGGATTTGGGAATCTGAGTCCCTACCCTGTAAGTGACTGAGACTTCACACAGCCACAATGCTCCAGCTCACAGCTTCCCTCTGGGGACAGGGAGGGTCTCATTAAATCAGTGGTTTAAAGGCTGGTTTACTGGGCCCTGAGGACTGTCCCAGAAGGCCAAGTAAGCAGGACCATCTCCCTGTCCCTACTTCCAATAGAGCATCCTCCTTTCTTTGTTTTGTATACTGAAGTTCTGTGTGAGATATCATTTTATTGCCTTGGTTTTTAAATTATGGTAAATGCAGAACTACATGGGCAATCATGAGTTTCTTTCTGACTCTGACACTATGCCCAACCACAAGGCAACATGTGCTAGGGAAATTCTTCTATAAATGAATTAGAAAATTCTGTATTCCTAACAGAAAGATCAATTAAGTTGTAATTATAGCTTCATTCATTCATATACTCATTCATTCAGCCACTCATTCATTTCACAAAAACATACTGATGCTTCACTATATCACCAGACAATAAGTTAATTATAAGGACACAAGAGTGTACAAAAGAGAGATTGTCTCTAGCTTTCTACAGCATCCAAGTTCATGGGAGAGGCAGATATTAACTAAACAATCATATAAATATCCTATTACAAATGTGACAAATCTATCAGGCACCGTGAAAACCTGTAACAGCTTGTAAGTGGATGGAGCCTGGGGATCGGGGAAGGCCGCCCCCACTGGAGCAAGTGTGTTCCTTTTGCTTTGACTCCAAAGCATGTGGGTAAGATGAACCCAATTACCACTTCTGCCTGAATTATATGTCACAGCAGACTTAAGACCAAGGTGTTACTCAGAGCAGAAGAAGGAAAATCTTCTGTAGGCAGGAAATGGAAAATTTTAGTATAACAATATTATATTCCTAAGTAGAATCTTACTAAAAATAGCCTCATGTAGGGAGGAGAGCACACAAGAACAACAGTGGGAGGCTGGGCACAGCCACAGGCTGGGGTTTGAATCAAACACAAAACAACTCCACACGTAACATGCCAACCAGAAGCACAGAGCCGGCAGAAGAGGAAATCCCTAGGGCAGCCCAACTCCAGGCACCTACCCCATGGGTGCTGCAGACTCAGTTCCAGACTCCACACCCCACCTTAGTAAGTACACACCTTGTTCTCCTTGTAGAGAAGCTCAAGATGCAAAACTTTCCGGAGATCATTTCTGCTGTTTATGCTGAGGTCAGAGCGAGGGCGTTCCTGGTCCATGGTCACACATGTCTTCTTTAGGCCCTGAAGGAAGATGTCTGAATTACTGTTTCCTTCTTTAAATCAAAACCTTCTGTCTTCTGACGCAAGGAAAACAAGAGACAACCGATGTGCTTCATTATGATCATTCTCAAACACTGACTTAAGAATTCATTTTTATTTAAACCTTACACTTGACATCACCTCCACAATTGTTCTGAATTTTACAACAGCCCTGTGGGGTCAGCTAAGGCTGGGGTTCTCAGCCCTTTGTATAGGCAAGGAGTAAAATCCAGGGAACCTGGACACCCAGAGCCAGCTCTGAGGCCAGGAGTTTGGCCCTACAGTTGGGGCTGTGGAGTATGAAGCTTTAAAAATAAACAAAAGAAAAAAATAAGCACAAGGCCAATATTCATTCCCTTCATTTCCCAAATGGAGAAACCAGAAGACAAGGAGGGTTTGTCCAGCTACACAGGAGAATCACACAACTGACCACTCCAGCCTGTGAACCTGTGATTCTGGGACCCTGACCCATGGGGAGCCCCTGGTAAATGTGTAGTGGGTAGCCAGAAAAGCCACTGTCCCTCATCCCACCCTGGCCCAAAGACTGAGGTCCTGACAATGGTAAACTGGGAAATTACTCTCCTATCACAAGCACCTGGCTTCTATTTGGAAAAACAACCCCAGGAGCTGCTGCCTATACTCCTAGGAGCCACTGTGGTTCTCAAATGTCCGCAGGATGAGAAGATGCCTCACAAACCACTCAGCCTATGTCACAGGGATTCCTTGTTCCAGATGGATCCCAGACTTTCAGTGCTGGACAGGGCTTGACTTCTCCCCTAGCCTTTGTATTCAGAATTTCGTAGAGACTCTAGCTGCTCAGAAAACAAGACAAAACCTACTGTCTGCCATGAATTTTGGTAAGAAGGTTCATTTGAGAAACAAGAAGAATGCACATGGCCTTGAACCAAAGAGAGTGAAAAGGAGTTCTGCAAGAAAGGGCACAGAAAGAACTGGATGTGTGTGTTGGAGAAAGGTGGATGAGGTACATTGGGGAGAGTCAACTGGAAGGAGAGGTAGGGCTCAAAAGCAACCTCTTGTGGATCATGTGGGCTTAACCACGGCTTTCCCACCTAACATATGTTATGGAATAGTCTATATAGAAGGATCCTCCCTCTCTGGTGGATATCTGTAAGTTCATCAATAGCTCCAATCACCAAGTGTTGGTACATTTAACACCCCCTCCATGTGAAGGATACCAGCACTTGAGGAAGTTTACAAGGATGTTCTCAGGAGTCAACCAGCCCTCAGCCCCATCCATTCCGCTCAATCTTCACTCACAAACCTTTGCCCTATACCTACTATGTTTCAGGCTCTGTTGTAGATGTAGGGGAAGCAGAAAGAATAAGAGCTAACATTCTTTGGGGAAATCAGACCATAAATCAATGGTAAGTATTCAGTCTTGCAGCTGCTAATATGCACCGCTGTGGAAAACAATACAGGGAAAGCAAATACAAAGACAAGGGGCACTATTTTATTTATTTATTTATTTATTTATTTATTTATTTTGGTACCGGGGATTGAACTTGGGTCCTTGCACTTGCGCAGCAGGTGGTGAAACCACTGAGCTAAATCCCCAGCCCACATGGGGCACTATTTTAGATAAGCAGCTATTTGTTCAGCATCACCCATGTGCTCTCTTGTCTTCTGGTTTCCCCATTTGTGAGTTGAAAGGCATGAACCACTCATTTACTAGTCCAGCTGCTAGATGCAGAGGAGTGAACAGATCAAAGTCCCATCCTCCTACAGCTTACATTCTATAGGGGAATGACAACAAGTCTAATATGCTGTGGGGAGAAAGATATATATAGCAAGGTAGGAAAACAGAGAGACTCAGGAGCTGGTATGGGGAAGGGATGCTATTTTATGAAAAATGGTCAGGAAAAGCTTCATTGATTGGGTGACAATGAGCAGAGACATGAAGGAAATGAGGGGCAGCCCAGACAGACCTTGGGAGAGTAGTGTTCCAGGCAAGAAACAGCAAGTTCAAAGGACCTGTGGCAATTGCAAGAGCCAGTGCATCTATAGCTTTATGGCCAAGGGACAAAGAGAAGACATTAGGTCAGAGAGGTGGGCCAGGGCCTGACAAGGAAAAAGCAAATAGGCTTTGGTGAAGTGGGAAAGGCTACAGGAGGATTTGAGAAAAGGTAGGTGAGGGACTAACATAATTTTAAAGGATCATTTGGCTGCTAGGTTAAAAACAGAATATAGGAGGTGGGTGATTAAGCAAAAACCACTTAGGGGTCCACTGAACAATTCACAGTTCACATAACAGACAGGGGTGACATGTATCAGGTCAGAGGTGGTAAGAAGTGGCTGCTTTCTGTATGTGCTCTGGTGGTAAAGCCAGCAGACTGGCTGATGGACTGCATGTAGGTGCATAAAAAGGAAAAGAGCCCCTAACCTGTAGGGTCTGTGCTGACTCTAGGTAGTGTCAAAATTGAGTTGAACTGTAGGACACTCAGCTGGTGTGCAAAGTGTTGGAAACCTGGTTGTTATGGGGTGGGGGGTGCACATTTGGTGCCATAAATATTGTGAGTTGAGCCACTATCAGAGGCAGGTAGAGATGATAATTAGACATGCATGTGGGAATATAGCATACTCAAAGAGATCAATTCAGGGTGAGGTCAGCTGGAGATAGACATTTTAGGATAATCTGCAGATAGATGATACCGGAACCCTTAAGACTGGCTGAGATACCTAAAGAATAGATGGAAAGTAGAAGGGAAAATGGCCATATAGTGAATCTTTGACACCACCAGCATTCACAGCACAAATCAGGGAAGGGGTGAGGGACAAAGACTCTGAGAAGGAGCCACCAGAGATGGTGAGAGAAAGCCAAAAGCAAATGTTACCTGGGAGCCAAGAAGAAGAACATAATCATCTGTGACAAACACAATTCTCAGTTCAAGAAGAGCAAATAGTGAAAATGAGAGATCAATGATGAGTTTGCTAAGAGCAGTCTCCCAGGAATGTGGAGACAAAAGCCCAATTAAAATGAGCCTGAGAAAGTTGGAGGCAGAGATGGAATCAGAGTATACAGCTAGCTCTTTCATGGGGTGTGGCTGTACAAGGAAGAAATAAAGTCTCGTAGCCACAGGGCTTGCAGGTCAAGCTGAGGTGCAGTAGGAGCCCATATACGTACTGATAAGAATACCCCAGTGGAGAGGGGAGCATGCAGGGCATGGGCACATGATGTGCCCCAAAGCATGTATGAGGACACAGGCTGCCTGACCCAGGCACAGAGGATTCATCTCCCAGGAACACAAGCTGGGATGAAGTGATTGGCTTGGGCCCAGAAAGGTTTATACATGAGGGTGTGGGAGCCTGTTGGACCATTCTCACTTCTCATGACTACTTCTGCATTCTCAGTGAACTTAGATGAGAAAGGAGCTTTGGCATGAGGAAAGAGAAGGTGTGAGATGGCCATCCAGGATTTGAGAGAGTGATCAGGCTGAACAGGTGTGACCAGGTATACAGGCACCTCTGGGAAACCACAGTTTGAGTGCCCATGACCTTAAAGTGATGCCGTCAGCTTGGTGGTGATGTTCTGCAATCTCATTCAGCTCTGCAGAGGCAGACATGGAGTAGGCTGAGTTGACTTTTACCCGGCTCAGAGGAGAATAAGGGAAAGAGGAGAAAAGGGCAAGACTATGGAGCAGGTTATGAAGCATGTGATTATGACAATGGGTGGGTAAGGTGTGAGCTGGGGGACTGAAAAGTTGGCAGGAACAATGGATGCACATGCAGATAAGGTTAAAGAATAGGTTGTGTGGGGCTGAGAAGAGGGACGTATTGGAAATAGGAAAGGTGAGATCCTTGGAATTGAGATCACAAAAAGGTTACAGTGCTAGTATGAACAAGCCTAGGCCATTACCCCAGGAAAGGTTGTCAGATGGGGGTCGGATCGCTGCAGGAGGAATCACAGAACCAAGAGGCCATCGAACCAGAGGAGTCACTGAACCTTGACATCACCAGAGGCTTCTCAGGAGTCTCCTTGAAGGCAGACTACACTTAGTGAGTCCAAGGACACCATTGTGGCTGGAGGGTAGAGGAATACAGAAGCCATAGTGGAAGTGTGTGGGATTGAAGAGGCTGGAGAGACCACTGGGAAACAGGAAGATTCATTTAGGTTTTAGGTGAACACCGACTCAACGGACTAACATCCAAAGGTTGAGTGGAGAACAAAGGAAAGTTTCCAATTTATACATTCGGTCAAAGGAGTTGGTCTTTCTAGTGATGTAGCAAGAGAGTTTACAGGACAAGGGCAGATAGTTTTGTAATTTAGCCTTGAAAGAAGGCAGAGCCTTGTGAATCTTGTGAGAATAAGATGACATAAAATTTGTGTATAGGACATAGTTGCCAATTTTATCTGTACCAGAACAAGGAGTTATAGTTGGGGGATCCAAGGCTGGAAAAACTTGTTTCCATTTAAGTTCTGCTTCAGAAGAGGAAGTCTAGAGGGTAGCCAGGTCTTGAAGGACCTCATAGTCAAATAGTGATGGGAAGCCAGAGGAGGATGGAGAGGGGTAGTGATATGGTCTGGCCTGCTCACCCTAGGTAAGTTTTTTGGCCTCCTAGTCTCACAATCATCCCATGTGGAAATGAACAATGAAATTATACTTAATTCTCAGGACACTTACAAGAATTTGAGAAAACAGACAGCATCCAGCAAGTGCCTGGTGCCATGATGGGAATTCTGCTCATGACTGCTGAGTACCTGCCCATGTGAAGCCTGTGCAGAAGCACTGAGCTGAGTGAGACCGGTATCACCCAGCTCTCTGTGACTTCCTGAGTGACTTGGGCCACTTCTTTCTACTCTCAAGACCTTCATGTGTGAAGATGAGACATGGGAGGCAGAGGAGGCCAAGAGGACAAGGCAGCCTCCAAGGTGCTGCCAGGTTCAGGGGTCAGCTCTGAGGCCCTGTGTGGACGGTGACACAGGTGGATGTATTAACTGTAACAGAAGCACCAATGAGCACACA